TAAAGGGAAGGTAAAGAGTGCAAACCAAAATGAGAGGGGCATTTCTGACTCAAAATGCAGTGGACCTGCCAGGATTCTGCCGGCAGAAATTCAGGCAGAGGTGCTCCTGCATGTAAGCATGGCTCACTGCTCGAATGGTAATGACTCTCCTATACATACAGTTATGGCCAGAATTTTATTGACCGCAGCTAATTGTGGTAAACGGGAAGGTGCCAGTACACCTCTTGGTTGTGTGCCTAGATAGGAGTCTGACATGCATCCTGGCACTTCATTTATTAGTTGCAATTATTGACTAGTTACAATTGATTGGTTACAATTTCCTAAAAGAAGTTACACAAGCAAAACCTTCATAGGATTCTGGCCAGTATTTGTTTATGATACATATCATTGAGCCATAAAGCAGAAGTGTTATAGTAAGGAATTTCACCAACTCTCCATTAGCAAGTTCTGACCCTTGATATTCTTGTTGTCTGAGATTGGACAACTGGTTACTTTTGTGGTAACAGCTAATGAAACAAGTTACAAAGGGTTTTTTCTCCCCTCATTAAGTGCAAGTAACACTAAAGCTATCTTGATGGGCAGAAGACCCTTCCAGCTCTGCATTTCTAAGATGATGATGATGATTTAGGTGTAATGAGTAATGCCCAATTATTTTTTAAAATTACTGTGATGGGGCATTTTAAGGCACTTGCTGAGAAATTTGGAGAGGAATTTATTTTGCAATAAAATACAGACAGAAATTGTAATGTACACAGATGTGTCTGCTCATTTTCTCAGTATCCAGACCTTCCAGTCAGACTCAGTCTGGTGATGCTTTCATTGTAATTACATAGACATTGATGCACAGAAAGCAGTCTGGTGCTTCAGGGGACTCTCTTAGGTTTTATGCCATCCTCTTTCCAATCCTAAGTAGCATTTTTTTTGGGTTTTTTGATGATTTTTATTTTATTTTATTTTTATAAGGATTTCCAAGGTACAATATAAAAACTGGACACTCAAGGGAATTCTTTTGGCCCCTTGATAATGGCAACATGTGTGAGTGTGTTCTGTGCCTTCAAGTTGAAATCAGATTATAGTGACTCTAACAGGGCTTTCAAGGTAAGTGAGATAAATTTAAGGAGTGGTCTTACCAGTTCTAAAAGGGGCGTAGTGGTGCTGCAGGCTAAACCACAGAAGCCTGTGCTGCAGGGTCAGAAGACCAAGCAGTCATAAGATTGAATCCACGCGACAGAGTGAGTGCCCATCGCTTGTCCCAGCTCCCGCCAGCCTAGCGGTTTGAAAGCATGCAAATGCAAGTAGATAAATAGGGACCACGTCAGTGGGACGGTAACAGCGTTCCGTGTCTAAGTTGCACTGGCCATGTGACCACAGAAGATTGTCTTCAGACAAACGCTGGCTCTATGGCTTGTAAACGGGGATGGGCACCACCCCCCAGAGTCGAACACGACTGGACAAAAATTGTCAAGGGGAACCTTTACCTTTATCAGTTCTGCTCCCCCAGTGAGTTTCCCTGGCTCAGTGGGAATTCAAAGCCTGTTCTCCAAAACAGTCCATCACTCTGTTCGCTACACCACAGCTGATAATGTTCAGTGCAACAAATTATTTGCACATAAAGGGACAACTGTGACGCTAATGGCAAACTTGATGCCAAGAAGTAATGAATTCCATTTAAAATTTAACATTCCCTGCTTTGCTTGTTACTAAGAAACATAATTAATAAGCATACTAACAACGCTATTATATGGAAATCCAAAATCATATTCTTCAAGATGTCTCATCAAAGTGTGTGTTATTTGTCTATTTACATATTTCCTTTGGTATTTTATCATACTAAACTAAGTTCAGAATAAAATTTTGAAAGAAAAGTTTCTGTTTTAGACCAGGGATACATTCTGATTACCAAGGATTATCCATCCAGCTTTCTCTATTGTTTTTTTTAATGATGCAAGACACATTGAGTCCTTTTTTTAATGAGAAAGGTGAGGCAAAATTATTTTAAAGAAAGAAAGAAGTAAAATAAGATTTTTAAAAACATCATTTTCTCTGTATTTCTTTATTTCTTGTCAATTTTGGACCAATTTTGGACCAATTCTATGCAAATGGAAGAAATTCTGATTATATGGTAGGGGTCGGTATTTATCTGGCTAGACCTAATGGATTCCTTCTCTACTACTTCTCTGACCATGTTCAACTCAGTATTGTCTATTTATAGGATAAGGATTTTATCTGTTTAAACAGAACCTTAGACATCAGATTATTAGTTTAATTGCTGGGACAAATGAATAAAATGTTTTCAGTTTGTTTTGTTTTTTGCTTGTGAAAAACAGTTGTGTCTCAAAATTGGCATCTTTGACGGAAACTGCAATTAAGAATAAGTTAGACTTGATGGGAATAGGTAAAAACAAAAGAGAACAGAACAGAATGGGTGGGAGCATACACTTCTTAACAACTACCACCACTATCACCTCTATGGTGATTTTGGCATATCTGCATGCTTCCCCCACCCTCTGTTTGGTCTCTGTTTTTCAGTCCCTGCCAGAGCAATATGGGTTCCTCTGCAGGCAATAGGCAAGGAAGTATATTTTCTCCAACTTGCCTCCTGAGATTCGCGCGGCTCCCTCGCTGGGCATCTTTAAGAAACAACTGAAAACGTGGATGTTTCGGCAGGCCTTCCCTTCAGCCAATCCCAGCTAATTCCTTCCAGTCAATCCCTGACGTTTTCCTCTTCTCTTTTTACTGTGACTCACTCTGTTTCCCATCTTGTTGTAGTTGTTTATTTATAATAATTCATGTATTTATGTATTTTATGCTGTACGCCGCCTAGAGTGCTCGTAACTGACTAGATAGGCGGGATATAAATCCAATAAATAAAATAATAAATAAATAAATAAATATCACCTCTATGATGATTTTGGCATATCTGCATGCTTCCCCCACCCTCTGTTTGGTCTCTGTTTTTCAGTCCCTGCCAGAGCAATATGGGTTCCTCTGCAGGCAATAGGCAAGGAAGTATATTTTCTCTTTCACTTAAAAGAGGATCATCAGAGCTGGAAGGGCACCCTGGGCAACTACCAAAGAAGAGCTGGGTAGCCCGCAGCGCCACCACGTCCCTGTCAGGGCACCCTGGGCAACTACCAAAGAACAGCTGGACATTTTGCTTGAGATGCAAAAGATGGAGGGATCCTATGGAGTCAGCAAATAACAGAGATAAAGACCGTTTTTTGTTTGTTTTTAATTTGAAAAAATAAAGTATGAACCCTCCTCCTTTCAGGGACACATAGCTGTGTCACACCCAAGGTTGATGGAACACTGCCAGATGTTTAACAGTAATCTTGATCCTGTACAAAGCCAAATGTTTTTCCACGCATGACTCACAAGCGCAGGAGCAACAAACGGTTAGATTTGGGAGTGGTCTGTCTGGAAACCCCTGTCAGCTAGGTTACCTGCTTTTGGCCCTCATGATAAGGAAATATAACCTTTGCCCACTGCAGGTCCCATGGTTCATTTTTACCCCTAGCAGTCAGGCAGCTGATTTCTGACTCCTAGCTTGGGCCTGATTCCTGTTAAATCCTGATAACTCCAATTTTAAATGGATTTTCATTTTTTTTTTACACAAAGGTTGTTCATAAAGTAGAAAAATAAATGGGTTAATTAGCTACCAAGATGCTCTGCAAGGTCAATTTTTAAAAACATTTTAACTGTATCTAGTAGAGAGCAATGAAATGGACAAATGTATGAAGACCCCATTCACTGACACAGGTTTTGTATGGAACTCTATTGGCAAATTATTGTCAAATACCAAATGCTAAAGCAATAATTTTAACTTGTACATATATTTCATATTTATTGGCCAGAATCTTGTTGGGAACTTATAATTTATGTAAACATTAATTTATGATTACATAATTTATGTAATCATAAATTAACATAAGGAGCCACTTGGATTTGTGTATCTATCATATAACATGGAATGTGAGCAGCAACATATTAATATCAGCAGTTCGATGCCATGGGTTATGCAATAACATATAAGCCAACATAAAACTTCAGTAGGATTTTGGCCACTGTTTACTTTAGTTTTTGAAATATTGCCATTTCTTCTTGATGTTGGATGAAATCCTGTTGCTGTAAATTACGCCATTTAAGGCAGGTGATGTCATTATCTGCGATGGTTTTCCAGGAATTATGCCCCATATGCTATGTCAAATGAAGCTGATGACATCACCTACCAAGGCAATTTTGTTGGAAATTTAAAACTTCCCATTTTACCCCTGAAGGTCCCAATGCTATCTTGGGATCCCTTTTATCATGGGGAAGCCATTGAAAACCTTTGGATGGAAGGGGTGTGTGTGCTAAGTTCTAAAAAATCATCCAGGCAACAGTAAAGTCATCCTGGTTATGCCAATTCTAAGATATTAAGGAACAATCCCCTATCCCACAGCCTCCAACAGCTTCCCATTAATGAAAATAATCTCAAGGGAGCCTCACAGTCTTTGGGGGTGGGGGTGGCAAATGGGAAAATTTTAATTTCTGAAACACTTGAGGATGATGATGTCATCAGCTTTACACAGTGTTACATACCACAACAGGATTTTGGCCACTGTGTTAGGAGGTAACAAAGTAACATAACTTTAGCTAAAGATACAGAGCCAGACTGACATTATTTGTCAATTGGTATAAACAAATGTCAGCTTTTGGTTAAGCATGGTACAATGTATAGCCATTCTAATTCCTTGGTGTTTTTCTTTGGCAACAGCAATACTAGAATGCTAAGAATGATGATCAGCAACAACACAAGAGAGAGTGCCATTGGTGTCCCTTAATCCCTTGATTCCTAATTCCCTCTACAAAACACACACACACACACACACAGAGAGAGAGAGAGAGAGAGAGAGAGAGAGAGAGAGAGAGAGAGAGAGAAGATGATGTCACAACTGGTCCACATAGGGACCATAGGTAGGGTACTGGCATGGCAACGTCCAGCCATTCTGTATTGATGGAATTTCTATACTGCCTTTGCCTGTCCAGCCTGGAATAACAAGGTGAGACACAGAAAGTGGGTTGAACTCAGGCCACAATTTATTAAACGGTTGTTGTGGGTTTTTTGGGCTCTTTGGCCATGTTCTGAAGGTTGTTCTTCCTACCGTTTCGCCAGTCTCTGTAGCTGGCATCTTCAGAGGACAGGAGTAGCACTCTGTGCTCTGGTGCAGTTTGTTTGGGAGTGCTTCTGAAGATGCGGGCCACAGAGACTGGCAAAACGTTAGGAAGAACAATGGTTGTTGTGGGTTTTTCAGGTTGTTTGGCCGTGTTCTGAAGGTTGTTCTTCCTGACGTTAGGAAGAACAACCTTCAGAACACAGCCAAAGAGCAAGAAAAACCCACAACAACCATTAGATCCTGGCCATGAAAGCCTTCATGAATATAATTTATTAAACCTTTGAAAATTAACTTCCCCTTTCAGAAGGGGGCTTACCATAATGCAGAACCCTGAACTGGACCAGGAATCAACCCTGATCTTCAATCCAGACCTTCCCAGGCGAGTTCCTAGTTCCAAAAATCATGCTGTCCTCTGTACTGCATGGTCTCAGCCAGTACAATGTTAGAGTACCCCTGAGGCTGCTGCCCACCTGAGCCTCTTGACTCTAGGCAGGCCATGCCCCAGGAGACCCCCTGCCTGCTCCTTCTCAATGCACCAAAATCTCTGGATCTGCAACCCAAGGAAGTGGGATAGCTTGCGCCCCACCTTGGGTGGCTATTAAGAACTTATCTAAAACTCTTCCACACTACCTGCCAGTGTGACCTAATGATCTACGGCCCCCAATCAATCTGCCACAAAGCCCCTTGAAATTTAAGAATGTGATGGCTGAAAACCCACCTGCTCCATGAATGCCAATTAAAATAGGGCAGGCCAAAAATTCTCATCTGGCTCCGAAGTATCTAGCTAATCTCAGCCTCATCTCATAGGGTGAATAGGTGGGCCATCATGCAGGGTTGAGAGAGGCTGAAGTAAGGGTAGGCAGCCTCTTAAAGGCTTGCCACTGGCCACCCCATTTTGGTCACCGTAGACCCTCTGTGTTCCCATCGTTTGGGTGGGGGGGGGGAGCAAAGAGCTACCACTTTGGCACTCTGCCTGATTGCAGTGTAACAATATATATTTAAGTCAGGATTTTAAGTCTCTCTCTCTCTCTCTCTCTCTCTCTGTCTCTGTCTCTGTCTCTGTCTCTCTCTCACACACACACACACACACACACACACACAAACTACAGTATAAAAACAGTATTAAATGGATTATTGCACATGAACAAACACCAAATTAATGCTTCATATTTTAAAAAGCAATGACAGAAAGAAAAGTAATACCATTAGAAGTCCCTTCTCCACCAGTAGTTCAATGACCAGCAGCCTTTCTAAATAAAGTGGTACCTTGGTTTACGAACACCTTGGTTAACGTAATTTTCAATTTACGAACAAAAATCCATTGAAAATGATGCCTTGGCTTACGATTTTTTTCTGCAATATGAAGCAAGTTTGCATTGCGCCTGGGAGGTTCATAGTGCCACCCCCATGCATACATTCCTATGGGAAACCATGTTTCGGTTTGTGATTTTTTTGCATTATGAAACACCCCAGAGAACACATTAAATTTATAAACCACTGTAATTGCATCAGGGAAAGAAGAGGCCAATGCAGCCTTCCTGAGAGTTCCACAGCTTGAGAGCAACAACAAGGCCTGTGAGGGTGCTGGGACAGAAAGAAAGGCCTGTCCTTGGGAACTTACACCCAGGTATACTCATATGAGGAGAGGTGAACCTTCAAACAGCCATTACGTTTGTGAATAGGTAAAAACCACAATGGAATGGAATGAAATGTTTTAATAAAAATGTATTGTTTTGGTATTTGGTTGTTGCCCAGGATGTGCTTGCAGCTATAACGATCCTCTTTTTGGTGAAACAGAAAATATCCTTCCTTCCCTATTGTCTGCAAAGGAATCAAACAGGTGGGTAGGTGAAGCATGCAGATATGCCAGAATCAGCATAGAGGTGAAGAGACCACAGCTGCTACATTCTTCAAATGTGAAATTAGGGTGGAGAAGATAATACCCTTTTAGCAGGTTTAAAGCTAAACAAATATTATGGGTATCATTAAAATGGGCTTGTAAACATGTATTTATTACCAATGTATTTAAGTTGTGTGACTTATAATGGAACTAAAGCAACCACAACTACAAGTATATTGCCTATAGAAATGGCTGCCTCTGCAGTGGGAATTGGGGTCTCCCCAGCAGTGGGCTTGGGCTGGGCTACCCAGTGAGGAAGAAATGAGGCAAAGAGAATCAGGAAACACGGCAGACAGAGACAGCAGCACCACATGTCTCTGCTAATTAATTCCATCGTGATGACATTCCTCAAGGCGATGAGATGGAGTCCTCTGGGCAGGGTCTTGAGGGAAGTGGGCTGACAAAGTCAGAGAATGGATTCTTCTTTTCTTATCAGCCTGTTGAAGCACAAACAATGAAGCTGGACAGTGGTGGGTGCTAGAGCAAAATGATGATTCCCTCCCCCCCAGTATGCCAGTAGACACATCAAAACCCCATATCTCTTTAAGCCATCAAAATAAGAGTGTTATGGTGGCTTATGCCTATACAGATTAGGGATGTGAATCTTTCAAGCCTCCAGTTCTGAGAAATCAATGAGAGAGAGAGGAAATGGGAACTTCCTTATGGTGAAATTTGTCTGCATTTTCTCCACCTGAGAAATCTTGTAGGAAATCTTGCAAGATTTCTTAGATGATTTTGGCAATTTTCTTCCTGCAGGATGTGTAGGGTTATTAAATTCCTGTGCTGAATGGCATTTTACTTGGGCATGGAAGGAACAGAAGAAATCCCAGTCTGTGCAGGTTTGTAAAGAACAGAATTTTTCATGCATAGAGTTCACTAATGAGGGCAATATGGAGTACAGAATTTGCAAATGCAGAATAATTGGGGGGAGGGGGAGGGGAAAGAGAGACCAGGATCTCCCTTTGTGGAAAGCTGTTCAGTTGGAAATCTGCTCAGGGAGTCTTGTCATTGATGAGATTTGGAAAATTGCAAAGAAAAAGGAACAACCATATACTGAGCAACAAATTAGAGTCAGATTACTGAAGGCCCTCAACTAGAAGGCCCGGAAAATCATAAAAGCCTGAGGAATTTTGAATTGTCACATCCCTAGTGTGGATTCTTTCATGCTAAAGCCACAGAAGTAGCAAATGTCAATAAATGTCTTCTGGGAGCCCGGTTTCAGATCCTCCTCCCAACCTGGTTGTTGTTGTTTAGTCATTAAGTCATGTCCCCACGGACCAGAGCACTCCAGGTCCTCCTATCTTCCACTGCCTCCTGGAGTTTGGTCAAATTCATGTTGGTAGCTTTGATGACACTGTCCAACTATCTCGTCCTCTGTCATCCCCTTCTCCTCTTGCCTTCACACTTTCCCAACATCAGGATCTTTTCCAGGGAGTCTTCTCTTCTCATGAGATGGCCAAAGAATTGGAGCTTCAGTTTCAGCATCTGTCCTTCCAGTGAGCACTCTAGGTTGATTTCCTTCAGAATGGATAGGTTTGTTGTCTTTGCAGTCCAGGGGACTCTCAAGAGTCTCCTCCAGCACCACA